ATATATATATATATATATGTATGTATACACGCATATATACATCCACTGATGAACTGCTTAAACGTGAGACAGCGACAGTGCATTCATCAAGCAGATATGCAAAATGGATCATCGACGATAGTCGATCGCGTGCCGATCGGGATCGTCGATCGCTCCAGAATCTCACGGACGACCGTAAATCGCGCACCGACCATCCACCAGCGATCCACCGGCGCGGGAAGAGAGTCCATCGAGCAAATCAAATCAAATCCGAAAATCATTGCGAATTCGTTTTTCCCGAGGACGGTTTCAGGTGATTATCGATCATTGCCGACAATCATTTCGCGAGAACATAAATAAGTCTACGGCGCATGAAAACGCACACGGACGGGAAGGAATTGTGATACAATTGTGTGATCCTCGGGACGCACGCGACGGGAAACAGGACGAAGAAATAAATCGCGCGACGCGAGGAACAATTTCGAGCACAACGAATTGCGAGTAGTATTTCGTGAGCATGCAGGGAGGAGAGACTGAAGGGCCGTTTACACCACGCGATTTCTCAAGAACTGCTGTTAGGAATGTTATTAGGGTAATCGTTACGAACGTTATTCTAAAACTATAACTGTTTTCTATAGTAATACATAAATCAGCTAGAATATACATCAAATATTGCAAAACTTTATATCGCGATATGTAGCACCTAATTAAAATATTGTTAAAAGTGTAACATGATGCAGTGTAGGCAGCGCTTGGACTCAAATATAACGAGAGAGAAATTGTAATATTTATAATAATTTGCGTTTATTGAATCGTAACATTGAATCAACTAATTCGTAATCACTGATTCAATAAATAATTATAGTAATTTGCTCAACCAAACGAGCTTTGTTAAACGAAGCGTCGGCGGTTTCATTCTTTCGTACAATCATCCTCATATTTTCTGTAAATTTTCTTACGTAGGTTTACCCATAGACATAATAAGAATAGACATTTCTACGAAGTTGTACTGAGAGAAAAGTTATCGATATTTATGATTATAATTATGTTACGTATCACCATAATTATGATTCTTATTGTTGTAATGTTAATAATAACTATAAATGCTACTTTAATTCTATCAATAAATAGTTCATAATCGAAATTGCTATAATTATAATTATTACCATATAAATAGATGTATTATTTTAATTTAACTGTAAATAATTTTTGGGATAACTATATAAAATATGATTGACCCAAAAAATGGCTATAAAAAGTATAATAAAATTATAATAATTGT